GGCAAGGACAGGCTCAAGGTGGACAATGAGAAGGTCCAAGTGATCCAGGAATGGGAACGACCATCGAATGTACACAAGTTAAGGGCATTCTTGGGGCTATGCAATTACTACCAAAAGTTTATCAAACACTATTCGAGAGTAGCCCTACCTTTAACGGACCAAATGGGAAAAGGGAAGATGGTATGGAAAATGGAATGCGAGGTGGCATTCATCCACCTCAAAGGGAAGTTGAGGAAGGCTCCTATGTTGGTGTTACCAGATTTTGCTAAGGACTTTGAGGTAGAAACAGATGCTTCAGACTTTGCGTTGGGCACAGTGTTGAAGCAAGACAACCATCCAGTAGCATTCTTCTCGAAGAAGTTGGACAAAGCTTAGTAGAGGTGGCCTGCCCACGAGAAGGAATTGTTTGTGGTGGTCAAGGTGCTCAAGGAGTGGAGAAGACACTTCAAGGTTTACATGGACAATGTGGCAACGAAACACTTTTTGTCACAGCCCGGTCTGAGAGGGAAACAAGGTCGGTGGGCCAATGCTCTGACCAAGTTTGATTGTGAGATTTTGTACAAGCCTGGGAAGAGCAATATTATGGCGGATGCTCTAAGTCGAAAAGCGAGCTTGAAATTGGTGATACCTTTTGGCATGATGTGCAGATAGCATATGAGAACGATGGTCTAGCACAAGAAGTGTTGCTGAGGAATCTAGAGGCACGGGAAGCTCACCAGAGAGGTGAGTTGCCAATGGAAGAGAAAATAGGCTATATGGAATGCAATAGACTCATCTATTATAAACAAAGGAGGGTGTATATTCTAGAAGGGGACTAAGGAAGGTAGCCTTAGAAGGGTGTTATGACGGACCTCTTGCAAGACACGGCAGAGTGCCCAAAACGATGGGCTTACTCAAGAGGAAGTATCACTGGCCAAGTATAGATAAGGATGTCCAAAAATATTAAAGACATGTACAACATGTCAGCAGGTTAAAGCCATGACTAAGGCTAGTGGGGGCTTGTTACAAAGCATCCCAATTTCAGATCGTCCATAGAAATGTCTTATGATAGACTTCATCACGGGACTCCCCCCAAGTGAGGGGTTTGATGCGATATTTGTGGTGGTGGACCAATTTTCAAACATGGCATATTTCATACCCACCACAATGGAAGTGGATGCGAAAGGTGTGGCGAAGCTATTCTTTGAATAAGTGGTTCGAGTGTAGGGAAGGCCAGAAGGGATTATCTCAGATCTAGACAATATCTTCACTAGTAAGTTTTGGAAAACTCTCCTTAAACAATATTGCACCAAGTTGAAATTTAGCATAACCTATCACCCACAAATAGGTATTGGGTATTAAGTCAAGTTGATGGCACTAACACTTCTTGACAGACGGACAAACGGAAAGGGTGAATAGGTAGCTAGAGGATTATTTGCGATGCTATGTTTCAGGAGACCAGACTGATTGGGTAAGTCATTTGGGACTTGTGGAAATGTGCTATAACAACTCACCACATTTGAGTATTGGGGTGAGTCCATGGGAAGTTGAGGCACCACTCCACATGAGCCGGGAGCACCGCAATTGGTTTCCCTTTCAAGAGTGGGAGCTGCTCTTAAGCACTTCCTTGGGTGACCCCTCCAGCACCACCCGATTCCATGCTCACTCCCACCCAAGGCCCCATGGCCCCAATCTCAACCTCAAGTCAGTTTGGAAGCACCACTAGAGAGTTCCTTCAAGACTAGTTCCTGAACCTCACTATCCCTACTCTACTTTTGGAACCCCCTACAGCCCCTCCCCCCCCCAGGAGACACACACTTTGGGCTTCACCCCTAGACCTGTATTAGTACTTGGACTTGGGGCCCCTCCCCTTTCCCGCCGCGTGACGCTGGCCCTTGCCAAGCAGCCGCGCCGCCCCCGAGGCTTGCTTCCATGTCTCGGACTCGATCTTGGACTCAATCTCGGACCCGATTTCGTACTCGGACTTGACCTTGAACTTGATCTCGGACTCGACCTCGGACTCGGTCTCGGACCTAATCTCGGATCTCGGACTCGGTCTCAAACTCAGTCTCAGAGTCGGCCTCGGACTTGATCCCGGACTCTATCTCGAACTCAGTCTCAGAGTTGGTCTTGGACTCGATCTCAGACTTGGTCCCATCCGATGAATTCTTTATCATTTCAGTCTTTATCAATTCTTTATGCTTTCAGGGATCCTTTAGCCTTCGACACCTCGGGGAGTTGGTTCCTTACAATAAGCTTCAGGCATTTTGAGTTCACAATCATACCATTTGGTTTGACAAATGCACCAACCACATTTATTCGGTTAATGATGGAAGTTTGGAGTTTGTGGAGATTTTCTTGAATGATATTCTTGTTTTCAACAAAAATATGAAGGACAAAGTTCTCTTGTTACTACCTAATAACAAACTTTATATGAAGAAGAGTAAATATGAATTTGTAAAGAGTTATGCAATTTTCATGGTATAGCTAGTTATTACTCATGCTTTTAGCACAAGTTTGTGAAGGTGGCTATTCTTTTGACATAGTTGTTGTTTAAGAATGTGCAATTCAAGTGGAAAAAGTCATATGCAAATAGTTTTGTTGCATTAAATTAGTTGTTAAGCGAGGCTCTAGTGCTTTGCATTGTTAATTCATCAAAACCTTATAACATGATGTGCAATGCAAAAGATTATACATTAAAAGGAGTTCTCATTCAAAAAGGACAACCTATTGTATATGAGAGTTGGACTTTGAATCCTACGGAATAAGGATATTCTACATATAATTAAAAGTTACTTTCCATTGTTCATGCTTTATGAATATGTAGGTATTATCTTTATGGTACAGTGTTTGTGGTGTTAATAGATCACAAACTTTTTATGTATCTCTTCACATAGAAAGAGTTAAACACTATGCAAGCTTGTTAAATGGTTAAACTTATGGAGTTTGGGGAATTCCTTATTGAGCATCATTCGGGGAAATCAAATGTGGTGGCTAATGCTTTATCTTGTGTTCAAAATATGATAAAGTTACAAACATGGTTTTGATATCATATGTGTAAAGTGGTCAGTGAGTTAAGGCAATTGGTTGAGCATGCTCAAGCTTAGGATGTTAAGATGGTATCTTTATGAGTTTAGCTAAAAGCACCTTTCTCATTGGTGGATAGGATTCTTTACTACAATGACTATATATATTTGCTATGGCTAGATGTGTTAATTCATCATGTTTTATTTTACTATCATGATCATTCGAAGGTTAGTCATTTAAGAGGGTATGAACTGATTATATGCAATTTTTATTGGAAGAGTATGAAAGTTGATATCCTCGAGTATTGTAAATCATGTGAACTCTATCAGCAGGTAAAGGTGCTATAAGAGAAGCCAAAGGGATTTTTACAACCTTTGCCTATTCCTTAGAGCCATTGGTGTAGTATTTTTATGGATTTTATCACTTGCTTGCTGTGAACACAAAGGCAAAAAAGGCAAATATGGATTATAGTGGATCAATTGACAAAGTATATGCAATTGTTAGCATTTCAGAAGATTGTCACTACCTCAAACTTGGTTGTGATTTATTTAGAGAAGGTTTTTCCTGATTTTGGTTTGTCGGAGAACATCATTAGTGATCAAGACTCAAAGTTCACTATTTTGGAAGAGCTTTGCAAAAGCTATGCAAGTGACTTTGAAACTCTTGAGTGGAGATCATCCTCAGATAAATGGGCAAATTGAGCATGTGAATCAAGTGGTGGAGAATATATTATGTTGTAATATTGGTTAAAAGCATGGACAATGGGATTTATGTATTTTATTGTTGCAATTTGCCTACAACAATAACCAACACAATGGAACTAAATTAAGTCCTTACTTTACATGTTTGGAAAACATCTCAAAACAACATTAGAATTGAGAATGGTATTAGAAAGACTATCATTGCTTCAAAACCTGATTGCAGTCTACTTGGAAATGATCTTTCCTAATTTTTGTTTGCTGGAGGTGGTCAAAAGTAGGGATAATAAAATTTATATATTCTATTGGTGCAATTTGCCTACAATAATAGTCAACATAGTGAAACTAAATTAAATCTTTACTTTGCTATGTTTGGAAGGCCATCAAGAGTTGAGTTTGCATTTGAGCAAGGATGTTCAAGACATGTTTAATTAAGTCATTGACAAAATCATTGAGAAAGCTACATCTCAAGATCGATCAGCAAAAGAAAGTATAGCTCTATTTCTCTCAGCCCTATAAAGGTTCTTCAAGGATGATAGCCATACTATTGATATTCTTGGTCGTTTTATTTGCTCCCGGCCATGTCCACTCCAAGTATATAGCAGGCGAGCTGTGCTACCCAGACGCACAGACCTGGGCATCCTTCAATTGCTCCATGGGAAGGAGAATGATCAGTGTGGCCTCTCCAGCAACGCCATGCCATGATCCAAACTACGATGAGCAAGCCTGCAATGCCGTGAGGAGCGGCTGGAACAGTCCATTCTGGAGGACCGATCAACCGAGTGCACTGCAACGGACAAGCTGGGAATTGTTTGGGGAGCAGCGCTGCCTGATCTCCTCCAACAGGACCACTGCTTGCTTCCAGGGCGCAGTCCCAATCTATGCAGTCAACATTACTTGGGCAGCCCATGTCCAAGAGGCCGTCAAGTTTGCATCCCAGCATGACTTGCGCATCGTGATATGAATCATGGGGCATGACTTCCTTGGGTGGAGCATGGCAGTGGGAGCTCTCAGCATTTGGGTGCACCACCTCCAGAAGATCCAGTTCCACGAGAGCTTCAAATGCGGCCGTGGTAGTGACCATGGCTACTTGGCGGTAACGGTGGGAGCTGGAATTCAGTGGGAGGAGCTCTACTGGCAAGCGTATCAACGAAAGATGATCCTGGCTGGTGGGGGATGTTCCTCGGTTGGAGCAGCCGGCAGATACCCTCAAGGTGGCGGCCAAAGTTTCCTTTCCCTGCTAATCGGCTTGAGCCCCGATAATGTTCTCGAGTACGAGGTGGTGACCGCGGATGCATGCCAAAACACGGACCTGTTCTGGGCCTCTCCGGGGTGGTGGCAGAGGAATATTTGGAGTTGTGCTCTCGGCGATGCACAGGACTTTTCCAGCTCTTGGCAGCCTCGACTTCGCTCCTCACAAAATTCAGCACCCCCGATACCACCAGCTTTCAAGGGCTGCTCACTCTGTTTACGAGGTTGAATCCCTCTCTGTCCGATGCCGGCTGGTCTGGCTACTTCTTCTCGACAAGCCAGAGCCTGACGCTAACGTTCCTGCTGCCCAACCGGAACGTCTTGTATGCTTCCACCACCTTGGCCCCGCTGCTATTGTACGCACGGGAGAACAACATCCGGATCGATGGGAGCTTGGAGACGTATGCCTCGTACTGGGACTGGCACTTGCAGTTTCAGTGTGGAGGGCAGGAATCGTGCTTGGGCCTAAACAACTTGGGAGTCTCCGATGTCTTCGCAATGAGGCTGATCCCGAGATCACTCTTCAACCACGAACAAGACCTCCTCCCAAAGGCCATGATGCGTGTCATGACCGAGCTGCAAGTTCCAGCTACGTATGCGATCCTGGGGGGTGGAAAAGTGCGAGAACCCCAAGACAGCGCTGTGAATCCGGCGTATCGCGACGGACTGTGGCTGCTCGTATTGCCCCTGACTTGGCAGGACAATGCGACGGTGGCGGAGATGAGCGCTGCTGCGAATCTAGTGTCGCAGGCGAACAAGCTCTTCATCGATCTCACGCCGGGCTCCGGGACTTACGTGAACGAGGCCGATTACAACGAGCCCAATTGGCAGCAATCCTTCTTTGGAAGAACTATCCTCGCCTGTACCACATCAAGCGCAGGGTCGATCCTACCAATCTATTTACGTGCCATCACTGCGTGGGTAGCGAATTCAACTGAGAATCCAGTGAAAAACATAGCGATTCCATACAAATGTTGAAATGTTACAGTAGCGATTCATTGATTCAAAAATGAAAATCTAGGGTTCTTGAGATGGTTTCGCTCTTGGGCTCTGGATTGCCACTCTAGCAGCTGCCAAGACGGTGAAGCGAGACGGTGAGTCGATCCTCTCCACCTGCATTTTCGATTTAGCCAGGGATTAAGCGACGATCTTGCCAATTCCAGTCAAGGCCAGCTGGAGGATGGAAGGTTATGTATGCTTGGAATGGGGAGGATCCCTGTGGGGATGGAGACGCGGCATTGTGGCCGGGAATCACTTGTTCCTCCCCAAATGACGAACGCTATCGAGTGGTCACGGAATTGTGAGTTTTAATACGTCTTATCACTTTGATCGTCACTTTCTTCTTTCTTTCCAGGGAGCTCTTTCAAGTGTCGATCATTGGAACGTTCCCGATCGGTGTCACAAATTTGCTGGATCTCAGGAAACTGTGTGCTGGTTTTCGTTTACTGAGTTCTTGCATTCTTCCAGACTTCTCTGGAAGGGACTTGCATGGCAACAAACTCACCGGACCGATTCCTCCTCAAATAGGACGGCTGGAGAAGCTTGTAACCCTGTAATGTTATTGCTAGCGGTCTGGCCGAAAAATTCTCGACTTATTTTGATTTTTTCTTTGCAGGAACTCGAGATGGAACAAGCTGCAAGACGCCAAACTACAAAACTTGTGAGTAGAGTTTCGCTTCTGTTCTAAGTTCTTTCTTTCATAATGTCTGTCTGTCAGGTCTCTTTATATACTCAAGCCCCAGGCATGATTCTGTGCCTTCGCATGTGGGATAGGGCACGCTTATGTGTCGCGCACTCCTTTACCCACGTTGAGCGCAGACGTGTCAAAAATTAGGGTACAGGTGGTTTAGCATCGTCATAAAACTTCTTGTTTTATGCTGTTTATATGGGTTTATGATTAGTAAATGATTTTTTCCTGTAAGTCTCTCTTTTTTTGTTTTACTTTCTAAGTTCTTGCTATAGTAAGCAATTGCCAAAGCTTTTCTATTGATCTTGTGTTCCAGCTTCTTTCGTGCTCCAGAATAATGCGGTGAACGTGGAATGAACACGAGACCTTCAGATCTTCAGTCTGACGCAGAACCTTATGATCCACTGCAACATCTCCAGTTGTTCCATCCATTACTTTTCCGGGAGTGTGAGCATAAACGTCCCAGATGCTTGGGCCTCTTCCACCTTCTTTAACAGCGCCTTCATAGTGCAACATAAACGTTGCTTGAAGAATGACGAAAAGCTCCACCTGGTCAAGGATGTTCTGGAGAAACTTATCCTTCTTCACATGGAGCCTCTTCAGTTCCGGGACTTTCCAATCAATCCACTTGAGCCAGTGCAGGATGAACTCGCTGATATGAAACTGGAGTCCCTGGTCTGCTGTCTCGAACACAATATCTTTGAACTGCTTGGCCTCGCCATCAATGTGCTCCTCATCCTCCCGTATTCGAAGAATCTCTTGTTCATGAGAATCCGGGTCATGACATTGAAGGTGAAGGTCGACAACATGTTCCTCATGTCCACAGCTTTGTGCGCTCCAGCACCTCGAAGCGCCGAAAACATGCCAGTGATCTCCTCTAGCCTGATTGGGAGAAACGAATCGATCTTCTTGGGAGTGAAAAGATCTGTAGCGCAGAGCTTTTGCATCATGATCGTTGTAAGGGACAGGTCCAATCCCCTGGAAGTGGTACAAGCCATAGTCTCTAACGAGGATGTAAGGCCTGGAAGTAAACGTCTGATCTTGCGACCTCAACACCTCTTTGGCGAGAACCGAGCTTGAGATGACAACCGCTGGCACGGTTCCCATCTTCATGAAGAAAATTGGTCCATACTGCTTGGACAGGGCATGCAATGAGAGGAAGGGAATTCCTGCGAGATGATGGAGGTGTCCAAGGAGGGACAATCCCACAGCTTAAGGAGGAGGAAATATTTCCATAAGGCATAGACAAGAGCAAGCAAGACCCCATAATCGTGAATGTCTAAAATTTGAGAAGCAAATGGCCCTTGGCAATTATATGCTTGCTTCTTTGAGACTTGTTTGAGATTGGTTGTTGAGAATTCTAGTCAGCCACAACTTTGACGAGTGCCACACTTGAATTGACTACACAAGAATCTTTCAAGTCATTATAAATGAACTCATTAGACTCCCAAAGAAAAATCTGTTGTTTCTGTAGGTCTTAAATAGGCTTTAAAAGATCTCAAACAAATTTTAAATCTTTTCGCAAACTTCTATATATTTTTATGATAACAATATAAAAATTTAATTTATATACAACCAGAGAGAAAACACCACTACTATTGTTGACAAAATAAACCAATCTTTTGGTACAATGGATTGAACTATCTCAGGGATGGAGATCTCGGGCTCAACTCGGGCAACAGGATCATCATGTTTGTTGGTACAGAGTGATGTTAATTGGGTGCTGGTAGTTCCCAATATTTTGCAGTGCTACTTCAAAACCCCTAAGTGATCCTCATTGCTTCTCTATGAAGCATGTAAGCATGCTTCACAGACTAGGTATACCAGGCTCTCTTGAGCTGATCAAAGGGATGTTTCAAGAATATTGTTATCACAAGCTAGAAACTTGGCTAGCAATCATTCTTCCCCATCTCAGGTATGGCATCAAGCTTACCATTAGAGCAAACATAAATTGCACTCATTACAGAATTTTTGATATACATTTTCTAGGATCCTTCTCACTGTTCTATAGGAGTCAAAGTAAAGCATTGTTAAAGAATGCAAATCTCATTCACAGCCTACAACCATTGCAAGAAATTGAGAATTTGGGCTTTGATCCAACACAACCATGGGTGTTTTCATCTACTTCACAGGATGCTGAGGAGCTACAGGCTTTGGTTCAAGAAGCACTGCCAAAAAGGTTGCACAGAATTGATTAAATTATATGAATTCATTATCCAACTCTTTGCAATTTCAGGGGCTAGGTCGGGAACTGGGTTTGAGACTGCCAGAGTCTTGGCTAAGTATGGCACCCATGTTGTATTCCAGCCAGAAAATGCAAAGGCAGCAAAGTCTAAGATTCAACAACAAGGAAGCAATATGAAAGTAATACTCATGCGGTTGGATCTGAGCTCCAAAGAATTCAAGGCTTTAAACCTTACCCTAAAGAAGAAAAAAGAAAGAATAGAGTTGGATCTCAAGGTAAATGTATCTAACATGATTAGAGCAACAGATCTATTATACTAGAGCTACTAGAGGTATTGCATGAGCTAATAAGGAGTGAGCACTAAAGCTAACTAGAGTTAATTGGAGATGGTGGATTCCATTATGTTCCAACACTCCCTTTTCTTGGTGTGCTCCGACAAGAAAAACTCCTAAATTATGGCAATGATTAGTGAATGTGGGCTCTTGGTAAAGGCTTGGTGAGGATATTTGCCATCTATTCATGACTTGAAAAGAATATAAGTTGTTATGATCTGGTGTGAAAAGACAAAGATTTAGTCTTCCTAGACTATGTTACACCTCTTCTTGAGGTTCCTCACCACCTAACCACCATTGAATTACCTCAAAAACTCCATTGCGCCACCACTCCTTACTAAGTTTGTCTAAGATATCATCCACACACAGCATCGGCATCTTATCTTTCATTGTCTTTTTGTTCAAGGCACAATAGTTAATACATATCTGCATTGAATCATCCTTTTTCTTCACAAGCAAGACTGAAGCACTAAATAGAGACTTACTTTGTTGAATAAATCTAACTCTTTGACTTGTCATTGAACTTCTTACTCCCCTGCATAACTCAATCGAAATGGATGCTGATAAATTGGCTGCATCCCTAGCTCCAACGTAATCCCATGCTCCACATTTCATAATGGAGGCAACCTATGAGGAAATTCAGATGGAAAAACATTAGCAAACTTGTTCAGTACATCCCATATTGTTGCTTCTCACCCATACATGCCTTGGTCCCCTAAGTCATGAACAAACAGCAAATAACTTGAAAGTGCTTTGCCATATCAACAAGCTCGTTTCAAAGATGTAGTAGAGAGCATAACAACTGGAGGTTGAACTCCCTCTCCAAACCACACATCTTTAACACCACCATACTCCAGCGAGACACGCTTAATAGTCCACTTTATCTTTGGATTCACCTTCACCAACTATAGCATCCCAAGAATGAAATTCACATGATGGATATCCGTGAGATAAAAAGTCTTCACAAGTGTGGTTTTGCAAACCAACACTTCCGCGTAAAAACCCTAATGTTGGAAGATTTTTGGGGAGGAAGTGGTGGAAGGCACCCAGTACCATGGCTGCCATGATCGGAGGCCCAACCAGAGGTAGAAGAGCGCTCAAGGGAGAGCGTGCAATCTCCCCACACTTGCTATCGTCGGCGGGGGCATCCGCCATGAGATTTAGGGAAGCATTGTTCCCCATTTTTTGCTTCTGCTTTGTACTCACTCTCCTGTCAGCAGCATGGAGAACAGCCACAAGGGAATCACAGCATCCACGCCCATCAAGCTGAGCTCTCAAGGTCGTGGAGGGTGAGGCAGGGGCCTTAGCATTCGACTCCCATGAGGAGGATTGTTACAAGGTCAGGGTTCTAGCACACACACAGCAGCAAGCCAGGACAAGAAAGGGCCCTCTATATCAACAGCCAGAACACTACTGTGCAAGGCAGCAAGTGAGCCACACAAGGCAGCAACCCAACAGGATGAGAACCATGGGATAGAAGTGGTGGATGTTTCAGGCCTGGGGGATGGTCAGGTCCTGGAAAAAGCTGGAAGTAAAAGCCAAGCCAGAGACGTGGTGCCACTGAGAGTGGTGGAGAGGATGAAGCTACCTCCCCTCACCCACTTGCTTGGTCACTGGCTGGAGTTCAGGAGCTTCGTGAGGGTCTCGGGCCAGTTACAAGTCAGGAAGGCTTGCGAAGAATCATCCCAAGCACTTTCACCATTGAGGGGATTCACAGGGATGGATGTCTCACAGAAGTACAAGAGCGGCACACTAGGGTCAGGTCAAGGGTCACCACCAGAGCAGCAGCACGTGCAGGAGCAGCAAAGCTAGGACGTGGGTCAGGAGAACTCAAGTCTGCCCCACCCAGAACGTCCAAAAACAGAGGGGAACAGGACCTTAGTGGGGATGCACTTCTGTCCTGCAGGCTAAACATGGAAGCCTCACTATAAGGTGAGTTCACAATCCTTCATTCATAGACACAACCAAGCTAGGAGATCTCCAGGGAGTTAGACCGTTCAATTGTGGCCCTAGGGTGAACAAGGAGCAGCCTCCCTGGACATTGAAGTTTGCCCACAGATGCTTGTCAGACTTGACGAACAAGCCCAGAGCTTCACTCCCATCTTCGCCAGCTCGTTCCTCAAGTGTGAGGCCCCGATCCAGCTCACAGCCCCCAGGGGCAAGGCGCTGCACTGACTTGAGACAGGATGGAGATAGCACAGATTGTCTACACTTGTTCTTGTCGAAGCCTACAGGCGGTGGTATAGTCTTTTGGAACAGTGAGCATTTCACGGAATAGGTGTGTCGAGAGTCAGCACAGTGAATCCAGCATGAAGTCTCATAGCTAACTCACCAACTGGATGATGAGGAAGATGTGGGGAA